GTTAATTTTCGTCGCGGCTGGGAAAAAATAGATTATGCATTCAATATGTAATTCATTCGTGAAATACTAACTTTTCGTTCATTAACTGTTGTTATGGTTGAACAATAAACATTTTCTTTATTATCTTTATCATGTGTTAATGTAGATGAATTTAATGAACTATAGCCAGTATCGTCTATAAAGACAATATAGAAAGCAAGTAATCGTATTTTTGATCTCACAACTGGAAAAAAAAACCTAACTACTAAACTATACTTACCTGCATTTCACATACTCACTTGAAAAATCTGATCTTTTTTTCTGACTTGGGTACGTTCTCTTTTAAAAAGAAAATATATAGAATGTAACTTACCATGTCTTTGGAAAGAAAAAGGAGAAGAAGTGGGAGTGAAAGAAGATGTATTCAAGGAAGATATAGCTAATGATTCAATTGAATGAAAATTAACTCGTGGTTTGTGCGTTGGATACGGTGTGCTTGTTATTGTTATTTCGGATAGTTTTTGTGAAGAACTACAAAATACAAAATTATCAAAAAAACCAATCATATGTCTTCAATATTTCGTCTTACTTCGGACTTGTATTACAAATATCAATGTCAGATGAGCATGATGATGTTTGATCGTCATTCATAGAATTCATTTTAATTCAATGAAGATAGTCAAGTAACATGCCATTTATATAACCTATTCATGAAGTAATCAAGCAATCAATCAATTAACAATGATGCATTCATTGCTAGTTGATACATGTAAATCAATTACAATGATCCGGATCGATCGATGGTTATGACGATGATGATGATGATGATGACGTGAATATATGCTTAAGTTTAGTAACTTATATTTGTCGAAATGGATTATTGAATGCTATTCAATTAACACATTAAGAAAAACCATTTTAGTTATAGATAAAATTATATTGAGAATACAGGATATTGTTTCTTATTGAATTTCTAATCATTATTTGAGTATAGATTTATGTAAAATTATGAAGGCTTTTTTTTTGCTGTTGATTTCAACAATATATATTTTACTGAAAGTACAACGTGCGAATTATTTGTTGAACAATGTGGACAGATTGAATCATGTAAAATTCTTTCTATTATAAATAAAATTGATTACATCGTTATATAGAATGGGTGACTAATTGAAGAAATATAGTGGTTCTATCATGATTATTCATTGTAGTTTGATAGAAAAGAACAGAAAAGAAAAGCTTATTTTTTTTTCATATCAATTGCATAAATTCAAGGTGCCATTTTTTTTGTTGATAACGGCAGCAATATACACTACACCGTCGATTCTCCTACTTTATCGATTACCTGGTTTCAGAGAAGGACAGTTATGTTGTTTTTTGTGATTATTATATCGATTTTCTCTTTCTTTTCTTTTCATGTGCATTTTTTTTTGTAATGCCAATATAATAATCGGTATGTCAAGTAGAGGAGAGAAATTATTTTATGTATAGTAGTGTAAAAAAAAACTAACAAGATCAACAAAGATTTAGTTATTTATATACATATGTACTTATAAAGTGAAGAGAAACCTCGTTATTACTTCATCAACTGTCCAGACAAAGTCAAATTGTTGTGTTTTCTTTTCTTTATATTTAATATAATTTGATTAAAGCCAAACAAAACGAATTGTGTGAATGGGTTCGATTAATTCAAAACCAACACACGAGAATAATTATTCGAATACTTTACAGAGAAAACATTATAATCGTTTTTCATTATTGTCCTGCCTTCAGCCGTTACCATCATCGTTTAATCATCAATGTGATGAGAATGATTTTCATCGTTTTAATGATAGACGACGTTCATGTTTAAAAAAAAAAGTTCTCATACTAGGTTTGGATGGAGTTGGAAAAACAGACTTATTCACAAAATTAATATGTCACGATAAAAAAAGATTAAAAATTGATTCTCTTCCTCGACCAACAATCGGTAAGTTAGTTTCAAAATAATAATTTTTTTGTTTGATCAAGACTCTAAGTCATCGATAATAATTTTTGTATTTCAATGATGGATATTTGTTATGTTTCTCTCGACATTGAATATAAAAGATGACTGTATGGTACTGAAAATGTATCAGCACAGGTATAGAAGTATTAATATTCACTATTTAACATTTGTAAAGTTCTGAATTCAATCAATGACATACATTTTTTTTTCTATGTAGCAGAATACAAATAAAGAATGATTTGACATGTTTATAGGTTATAATGTTGAAACAATAAAACTTCGTTGTCATCACTTATGTCATCGTCAATATCATAAAATTACATTATGGGATTGTGGTGGTCAATCAAGTGTTCGATCATTGTGGTCTTATCATTATTCAAGTACTTCTCTTCTTCTTTGGTTAATTAATATACATGATCGATCAAGATTAGATGTCAGTCTTCATTTACTTTCACAAATACTTACAAATCCAATTCTTCATCGAGTTCCAGTTCTTATTGTTTTATATAATTCTTCATTTGTTCAAAATAATCAAGAAAAATCTGATGAAAATACAAATGAAGATTTATTAACTAATCTTGAAATATCTTTTCGTTTTTTAGCAACTCTTTCAACACCTCATGCTAGTATCTGTAAATGGCAAGTTATTGACATTACATTAAATGAGAATGATTCTAAAAAAGATCTCAGAAAGATTCAAGAATCTTTTCGAGAACTTATGGAATTATAAATACTTTGCTTTTTCTATTATTTTTTATTTACAATTTTGTATTTTTTTTTAATCTGGTAAAGAACAAACTAATTGTCGTTCATCGTCATCAAAATCTCTCTCATCGGTTTCTTTGTGAAGAGCCATCGTTGTTCCTTGATGATGTATATTAATAAGATAGTCACCAACTTGAGGAATAACCCATTGTTCTTTCTGAAAATATGAGATACAATATATAAATATATATGAAAGATTATTTCAAAATTTTTCAAACGTATACTTTAGTTCTATTAGCTTTGGCTTGTTTATAAAATAGTTGTCGTACTTGTTGATGTCGTTTTTCAACAGCTTTTATTCGTTTGGCTTCATCTTCAACATTTTGAAATGCAGCTGCTTCATCAAATATTTTATCTAAAAAAATTAAAGATTTATAACTCATATCTCCTATGTTCACAAACCTTTTATTGATTTTTCGTTTGTAGTTTTCACGATTGTAGTTGAAAATCTCGCTTGAAAACGATAAATACAAAAGAAAATGAATGAAGTTTGAAACAGAAAAAAAGATCTGAACATACGTTTCGTTATTCCTTCGTTTAATGTTCGACTTCTTGTACGTTGTTTGATTTCTTTACAAACAAGTGTGGATTCAACAGGTGGTATAAGTACCACTGAATTCCAAAATTGTTTTGCTAATTTACTGTCATCTTCTCGAGATCCATCGAATACAGTCAATTCTGTACTATTTCGTGTATCAGTTTCGTGAACGATTGAACTTTGTAAATCTTTCAATTGTAAGAAACAATTTGTAGAGTATTCTTTCATACATGCATGTTACTTACTCATTCTGTCATATGAATTATGCCATTCTTTCATTCGTTACTATGGTGAAGACTCAGATGATGACTAAAAGAATGTTATTTTTTGTTTCTATGCAAATCTTTAACTTGAGCAAGAGTTAGAAGTGTAGAGTGTGGGTGTGGTCATAGTATTCTCAGTTCATTGAAACATATAACACGTAATAATGTTCATCATTTCTATAAATAAGGATAATGTATTTATAAATGTCGAAATCGCTTGAACAATTTGAAGGTATTTTATTATGTGCAATATTCCAAAAGTAATCAATAGTTTTCAAGATGATTCTATAATAGCTATGACTATTCGATTTACTTGTGTTGAAACACGAAGGTAAATTCTTTTTACAAGCATCAAATTATATATAAAACATAGGCGTATCAAGGTCAATAGTCTAATAGGAAGTAATAAACTTTTAAATGGATCCATTTTTGTTCCTTTTACTATTTAGTTTGTATTCTGGCAGCAATAGCTTGTTTTACTCCAGTTTCATTTTTGTTAAAAGCATGATATTTCGAAGCCTAAGTGTTAACTCACTTAAAAGTATACTACGCACTTCAAATAAGTGTGACGCTTTGTATTGAAAAAAAGATTTATTCAAAACAATATACGAAAAAGTCAAGTTTCTCTACGGTTATCCTTCATTCACGAATCATTGTGTTCTTGCCTTGATATACATTATTATTTAACTATTTAATGTTAGCAGCTAGTTAATTACGTCTTTTAATCAAAGTGAATATTTATATATATATATATATGACGGAGAACACATTCATCAGCATATCAATAAACAGAATCTTTAGATTAGATAGGTCAATTATCGTATATTCATTACCAAGTAGTATTGAATATATGTACATTACATGAAATAGTCTTATGCTAGTATCCAGAAAAGGCATAGAAAATTCGAAGAAATAATACGTTTAGATAGCTTTTCCTAATTTCTTTTCGAGGAAACAATTGCTACTTTTTGTAGTGTTGATGCGTCGTCCATACTCTGCAATCATAATTGATTCTGTTTCATTGATAAATAAAGCTAAACATGATGACATGTCATATTATCGCTGGGTTGTTGTCTTTTAACATGCTTCTTCTTATACTATCTCGATGCTCTATAAAGTGTCATTTTTGACAGTATCTGTTAGATAAGCTAATTGTGGACAACACATACTAGTTTTATATTGTTGTCTGTAAAAAAAAAAAAAAAAAAGGAGAAAAAAGATATTTCTCCTCCATAGTCTAACAGCATATTACATTTGTTTCATTGCAAACAATATTATAAGACGATGAGTTCATCATGGTTCGTCGTATTGTTATTTATTGTATTTATTGCTAACATTGAAAGTCAATTAATTCATAAATTACAGGATAAAATGAAAAAAGTAGCAACACAAAATTTAGGTGTTGATGTTGCACGATTTGATCATGAAGAAATGATGTTATTTCCAAATGTTGGTTTTCAACGTAAAGAAGGTGATTGGCGTTTAAATTTACATGGTTGGCGTTTTCAAACATCAAAACGTAATAAAGTTCTTGGTGAATCATCATCAGCAGCTGCTCAACGTATGGCACGTTTCCTTGCTACTTCTGAACAAATTGTTTATTATAACGATACATTTCAACGTGATCGTTTAAAACCATTTATGGTACAAGATGAAAAATATGAAAAAATTCACATTATGATTGGAACAAAACATAATTATACAACAAAAACAGATGGCGAAGGACAATTTCGTACATCATTTATTATTCCTAATGCAGATGTACAAAATTTGAAACAAACAGTGAACAATAATCAAGTTATAGGATATAAAGCTATTGGAGACAATGCTGATGTTTGGCAAGGACAAATTCATTTACTAGAAAGACATGGATTATCTGTTATATCTGATATTGATGATACAATTAAAATCAGTGAAGTTGTAGATAAAATTCGATTGGTAGCAAATACATTCATCCATGGGTTCCGTGTAGTAGAAGGTAAATAAATAATTCATTTCTTAATATTTAATTATCTTGATAAATATTCTATTGATATACTTGTACAGGTATGCCAGGAGTATATCGTGGATGGAAAAATAGACACAATTGTTCATTTCATTATTTGAGTGCTATGCCTGATCAATTGTACACAATTACAAAAGAGTTTGTTGATGATCACAAATTTCCTGATGGTACTTTCCATATGCGGTAAGATTTCATATTATTATTTATTATCCTTAAAATATTATCGTTTTTTTTTTGACTTTCGATAGTCACTTTCGATGGTCTTCAATATCAATTTATAATTTCGTTCATTCTCAAGGTAAGCGTGATATTTCTTGTTTTACTCTATTATTATCTATGAATCATTAAATAGATACAAAAATGCACAAAATGAATCATTTACGTTATTTTGTTTTTAATACATTACGTTCATTAGTATTAGTAGGAGATTCGGGTGAAATTGATCCAGAAATTTATGGAAATGTTGCACGAATGTATCCCAAACGAATACTTCGTATTTTCATTCGAGCTGTCAAAGGTGAAAAAGGTGATGAAGAACGATTTCTCAAAGCATTCAAAGATATACCAAGAGAAAAATGGATGATTTTTACTGATCCAATCAGAGATTTACCCAAAGACCTACTTAGTAAACCAACTCCAGCAATGTCGAAACCATCGAAACCATCGAAAAAGAAAGTTCAACCCAATCCAAAAAGATAAAATGAAAATATATTTGTGAACAATTTTTTGAATTTTAAAAATATATTCGCAGTATGGTTTTAATTGTATGCCATAAGTCAAGGTTCTACTGCATTTCTGGTGTTATCAGATACAAGGGGAAAGAGTGAAATCCTATACTACTGAAATTTTTTGAATTTCTATGTTATCTTACCCAGGATTCTACTCTTTCTCTCTTGAGTAGATATTATCAACAGTCAATTCTAATGATATAGAATAAGAATGCAGTACATTATGAAAAGTAAATTTCTTTTTTCGGATACAGAGAAAGCTGGAAAAAGAACACTTCATCTTATGTCAACAGATTCATTGTGATGCGCTTGCAAATCTACATAATGTAGTTCATTTTGATCTTAGTCTCCTTTATTGAATCTTAATCATGATTATTAAATATTGATTATCCAACGCTTACTTGTCGAAATATCTATGAGTTTTAAGTTGGTTGTTCGTCATCTATGCAGTTTTTTTGGTCTCACAGATGTATTGTTTTTGTTATGGGTCAATATACAATTATCATGCTGTTTAAAATTAAAGAGACAGAAATAAAAAGAGAACGAGCCTGGCCATGTATTGATCTGATGTTTGCATCGAGCAAACAACTTTTCATATTGATACACATTAAATCTATTCAAGTTGAATAAATTACAATATAATGATTGAAAAAGAGTATAATAAATTATTTTGTATCCATGTATGCTAATATCGAGTTTGTGTTATTATAAAATAGGATTCAAGTTGTGTCAATATTGAGAGACACATGTTCTATACTTCAATTTTTCGAAAACCATCATGATTTATTTCAAATAGTTTTTTAAATTTAAAAAGAATGTATGCGAAGCACTTAATCAAGTTTGTTTATAATATTTTAATTATGCCCAAAACTAATTATAAATTTAGATTAAGTATATTCTATTCATATTAACAAGACTAAAGTTTTCGTTGAATATCTTAGAATGGTACCTCTGCAGCATCTGATGCACCATCAAGAAACTAGTCAGATTTTACTTTATATGTTTTTTTGCAATTCAGCAATTGTTAATATGATTGTAATTTAGTGAAACAAATGAAAAACATCGTGAGTCAATGCAATTGTCCAACAAAATGATAAATGATGTCGATAAAATTCATCAAATATCATGATTCAAGCAATATAAATTATTTTGTTTTGCCATATAGTGATATTTTATTCATGGAAACGATTCTGCTGCTAAATGAGTTAAAATTGCTTTTTCTTGTAAGTATTTTAAAATAGATCTCATCAGGATCATTGTTGACACATATAGTTCAATGTCAAAATTAGATAGTATTCAGATGTAAGCGTTATGATTTGATGGTTCTGAACGCGATTTTCTCATATACTACACGGCATACTAGATGATTTCATTCGATTTTATGATCTAAGTAATATTCAATTGATTTTCATTGTGTGTTCGCATAAATACTCCGAAGAATATATCTGAAATCAAACTCATTATAAAGATATCAGGTAAACCATATGTGTTATCATACTTCTTCTAACACGTCGTGCTTTATATTCAATAGGGGGAGGGGAGAGGGGCAAATAGCACTGATCTACACTTACCATTTTCTTTTTACGTGCAACGACAATTTTTTCTACCTGATAAATTACTTTTTTTTCAATTTTTTCTGGTTCTGATGTTTTTTGTGTCTGATAACGAAAAGATAATTTTTTTACTCTCATATCTAGTAAAATTGATATTATGTTTCGAAGATCAACAATTCAAATCAAAACAAAACATCTTTGGAACTACATTAGTCAACAGCATGATTCAACATACCTGTGCAAAGAAATAGAGTAGTTGGTTTGAGAAAAACTTATATGATAAACAAAAGTAACAAATATAATGAGTAGAAACAACAAAATTTAGACCCTACAAACAACAACAATGTTCAAAAATCCTATTAGAAGAGCAGCTAACTTAATCAATAAGAACAGTAAAGTTATTAAAACTAAGAAATCTAGAACATAGTCATGAAGCAAATTTACAGTAACTAAGGAAAACTAACAACGGATTCAACTATTTCTTGTTGGAATTCGCTCCTAAAGCTGTACTGGCTCTCTAGTTGCTTGTACTGTATGCAAAATGTAGTTCTACATCGAAGGATACTATTTCCAGAGAGATAGTCCGAAGAAAAGAATCAATACCAAACAATATGGAAGTTTAGGGCTGCAATACTAGGTTTCCGGAGCTGTCAAGTCAGTAATCCTTACTTATATTTCCTTTCAGACTTATATTGACGTTTCAAATAGTTGTATAGGATACAAAATCAGA